AAGCAGTGTAATTACTGTCACGACGTCGGACATTTTATTTCTTGTTGTCGTAAATTGAAAAGCAAGAACAAAACGCGAATGTCCAAGCCTAAGGTTTCCAACATTAACGATGTACATGATCAGGATATTCTAGATAGTAGCAGCAATGAAGATGATTTCTTGTTTAATATTCATGTTTATGAGAAATATGGAGGAAAACTCCCGTTTGCGAAATTAAGTATCAACCATGTGTCTTTATATTTAATGATAGATTCAGGGGCAACTTGTAACGTTCTTAATATTAATGATTATCAGTTGATTAGCGATACTGTGGTATTTGAACCAACTAGTAAAGATTTATTCACATATGGGAAACGTCAATAAGTTGATGTATTGGGTACTGTTAAAACCAAGATTGACATGGAAAACAGATTTGAAAACTTGGTTTTATTCAAATTAACCCATACTATGATACGGTTTCCTTTGTTAATAAGGATGTCAGTGAACATAATTCAACACCTGCATATAAATCGAAAATTGATGATCTGGCCTTGCCAAATTGTCCAGAGTCGGTAAAAGCAATATTACGCGATAACTCAAATGTTTTTACGGGAATGGGAAAATATAATGTTAAGCAAATTAAACTTTATGTTGACCATACTGTTAAACCAATTTGTCAAAGTCACAGGCGTGTTCCATACCTTCTGCGCAAAAAAGTAGAAACAGAACTGAAATCACTTGAAGAGTCTGACATACTGGAAAAAGTTGAAGGTCCAACACCTTGGGTAAGTCCGATTGTCATTGTTCCTAAACCCGGTACTGATTGTGTACGAATTTGTGGTGATTATAGAGCTCCTAACTTGGCTATACAGAGAGAACGTCACGTGACTCTCACTGTACAAGAAATACGCACAAAACTTCATGGTTCCACTGTTTTTAGTAAATTGGATGCGAATAAACATCATCTCCAATTTGAACTTGATAAAGAATCACGTAACATTACGACAATCAGTACACATGTTGGGCTTAGACGATAAAAACGACTTCTCTTTGGTATTAATTTGCCAGAATGAAATGTCATTGGCCTTGCAAAATATTCCTGGTTTAGAAACTATTTCAGATATTATTATTCATGGCAGCGATCAAAATTCGCACGATAAAGCGCTACGTAGTTGCCTGTCTCGTTTATTGGCTAGTGGTTTGACTCTTGGTTTATCAAAATGTAAATTCTCGTTTCCCGAAATAGTCTTCTTTGGATTTAAGTTTAATAAAAATGGGATGAGTTGCGATGAAAAACGAATCAAAACTATCCGCCATGGTGGTTCGCCAATTTAGTACTATATCTGAGCCAATTAGACGTATTACAAAGACAGGTGTACAATTCGTTTGGGTGATATTCAAGAAGCTTCGTTTAATGCCATTAAAAACGCTATCTGTTCTGACATTTCTTTAGGATATTTTGACATAAATAAGGAGACTACTTTGACTGTAGACGCAAGCCCTATTGGTATTGGCGCTATTCTACGTCAAGGTAACACCCTGTTAGTTGTGCCAGTAGAGCACTGACACTGAAACTCGCTATAGTCAGCTAGAGAGAAGCGTTGGCAATATGTAGGGGTTTAGATTACCATCGTTTGTATCTCGACGGTTCATGTAGCACAAACCGAACACAAACCACTTGTTAGAATATTTAATCGTCAACAATTGCATAAAATGTCAGCACGAATTGAAAGATGGGTGATAAAATCTCAAAGATTTAGTTTCAATGTTCAATATATACAGGGTGACAAAAATCCCAGTGATTACATGTCGCGCCATCCGAATCATTCTAAGCTACATAACGTAACTAAAGCATATAACTATATTTCTTTTGTACAACAACATGCCAAACCTCGTGCCGTTAGTTTAGCGGAAATACAACTAGCAACCCAAATGATCCAACATTAATGTTTGTTGTGCAA